ATTAGCTATTAACATGGTCTAACAGCAACCAGAACCTCAACCAAGACCTGCTTATATAGCTAAAAGAGAATCTGGTTTCTCTCACCAAAACAATTTTAACCAGGATAGAGCTCTTTGTTATTATTGTAAAAATTCAGGATATTTTATTGCTAACTATAGAAAAAGACATAATGATAACCAAAGGAACAGAAACAATAGGAAAAAACTAACAATAATAATAGAAGGAATAATAATAACCGTTACAATAACAACGATAATAGAAGAAACAGAGATAGAAGTCAATCTTGCAATAGGAATTATAAAGATAGAAGTCAATCTAGAGACAGAAATTACAGAAGCAGATCTAGAGAACGAAGTTAAGATAAATGGGGACCCAGATCTAACTGCTCACCATCACTTTACTACCGAAATGTTAACATGGCTGAAAATTAACCTGCTTCTAATTCTAATAATTAGGAAAGATTACTAGACAATTATTCTATCAGAACTGCTCTAATCATCTATATTACTGAAGTCAATAGAGAAAATACCAAACCTTAACTCATTAGTACCATTATACCTGTTAAATGCTATATTGATATTCAAGACCACACCTACTTTGCTATTATTGATAGTAAAGCCTCTGTCAGTATGATCTTGCATCAAACTATAAAAGAATTAGATCTTAAAATTAAAATACTATCCAAAAGCCTTATTGTTGCTGCTACTGGCACTACCTCTAGATCTTTTGAAATTATTAAAAATTTGCTTATTAGGATCCAAAGTCAATTATACCCTTGGATGTAGAAGTTGTACCTGCCATCTCTTATTCTATTTTACTTGAAAATGATTGGTCAAAGAAAATAGAAGCCAATTATAATTAGAAAACATGCCAATATACTTTCTATTGAAAAGGAAAGAAGATTGTTCTTGATACTTCTTATAAGCAAGAAAAACCTAAAGAAAAGAAACCAACCTGTATTACTGCTGAAAACTTTGAATTATATGAGCAGGAATATTTAACACCTTATGAAGCTTATGCATTTTTTGCATCTTCAGAAGATGAAGACCAAGGATAGACTACCTACCAACCTCGATGAAGGAAACCACCTTGCAAAACCTGTGGTCAAGCTAACCACTAGTACAAGAATTGCCCTAGAAATCAATATTATTATTGCAACAAATTTGAACACATATTTATCAACTGCACTAACAAATGTGAAAAGTTAAATAACTGTAGAACTTGTGAACAAACTGCTTATTTGTTCAAAGATTGTTTAGACAACCAATGCTATAGCTGTAATGAATTTAACTATATCAAAATTAACTACCTTCTTGCTTAACTTAAAGTTGACAATTTAATTTACAAATGTGGTTGTGACAAAGACCAAATAGAAAAAAGGAGTATGACCTACTATAGTAGAAGAAGAACTCATCATTGTTGTTATTGCTACACTCTTTAACAATCTGACAAACTATACAAATTAGAGAAAAAACTTGCTTGTATTGCTTGTTACAAAATATACTATGAAGCTCTTGACCTAGCAAACCCAGAAGCCAGAAATATTACAATACAGGACTTGGTAGAGGAACTCTTGTCTAATGCAAACTTTGTAATACTCAGAAACCTAGATCAAGAATGCACAACATACAAGAAGAATTGTAGTTCTGTAAATTAGAACACATGTATGCTTATAAAATCTTTACAGACCTTTAGTATAATCCAAACTATGAGATTTGGAACAGAATTAGACACTATACTAAGTCTACTAGGAATACTAGATATCAGTATGATTTGAACCAAGACCAAATCTATCAGCTCATTAAAGTTTTACTTGATAAAAAATATAGAAGCATAGAAGAAGCTATGGAAGAGCAAGAAGATGATAGATATAATCGAGAATAGACTCCTAAAGAGATTACTATCCTGTTTTGAGCAGAGCAAGTATTGCTTACAGAAAAAGAAGAGGCTACCTTACAATAGGTCTTAAACAAATCTTTTAACACCTCTCAACTTGACTTTGATACTCGAAAAGCAATTAAGAATTTAAGGAAGAATTTTGAAGGAAAAGTAGCTCTTTGCCAAGAGTGCCTCTTTGCTAAACAAAGTACTAAACTAGAAGCTAATCAAGGTCTTTGCGATGAATGCTATCAAGAGAAAGATAAACCTTTTTTGGTCAAAAAAATAATTACAGAAGAGGTATACCAAGATGATATTATTACTACAGAACAGCTTACAAAAGAAATATACCATGATGATACTATTATGGTAGAGAAACTTGAAATAAGTGAGGATACTATTTTCAAGGAGAGAAAGGATGAAGAAAAAGACCAAGTTATTGCCAATTAGAAGCCAGAGTCTAATACTTAGAAGAAAATTTTAAAAAGATGATGGAATTTTTCTAATAACAAATCCAATATCATCAAGAATGAGCTGAATACTATGCTTATATAGCTTTCACACAGCAAAATTTTTGAGTAATCCTAGGCAAGATAAAAAACTATCTGAAGATTTAGAAAAATTACCAACAGAAGAAGAAGTTTTGCAACAGGCTTTGCAAGCTAATGCTCTTAAATACAATTTTGTAAATACTATAGATACTTTAATTCCTTATGAGAAATATATATTAAAAAAGACAGATACTGTAAATATAGGACCACTTACAAAAGACCAAGAACAAGCATTCAAAACCTTGCTAGAAGAATTTGCTAATCTGTTTGCTAAAGATATTACAGAACTTGACAGAACAGATAAAGTTAAACATAAAATCTATACAGAAGATATATCATCTATCAAATTGCGATCTTACAATGTCCATCCAGATGAACAAGAATTTATTAAACAAGAAATTAAGCGAATGTTAGATAGCAACATTATTCAACCCTCAGAAAGCCTTTGAGCATTACCTGTTGTTTTAGTACAGAAGAAAAATAAAAAGTTAAGATTCTGTGTTAACTACAGAAAGCTTAACAGTATCACTAAAAAAGATGCCTACCCACTACCTCGAATCCAAGAAATATTAAATGCTCTCTCAGGATCACAATGGTTTTCGACTTTAGATTTAGCTAGTGGATACTGACAAGTCATGATGGACTCTAAAGATAAAAAAAAGACTACTTTTATTACAAAATATAGCACTTACAAGTTTAATGTAATGCTATTCAGATTGTGTAATATCCCTGCCACTTTTCAACAACTTATGGATCAAGTTTACAAAGAAATTATCTGAAAGTTTGTAGTTGTATATCTTGATGATACCAATATATACTCTTGAACATTTGAGAACCATTTGAAACATCTAAAGAATATGTTTCAATGAATAAGAGATGCAGGATTAAAACTTAATCTTGAGAAATACAACTTCTAGATAAAGTTTTTGCTTTTTCTCAAACATATTATTAGCTCTAAAGGAATAGCCTCTGATCTCTCAAAAATTGAAACTGTTCAAAAGATCCAACCCCTAAAGAACACTACTAAGTTACAATCTTTTCTTGATTTAGTTAGATATTATCAACAAACTTCTCTGCTATAGCCTGACTCTTGAATCAACTTCTTTATAAAGATGAACCCTACTATTGGAGAAACAAACAGCAAGAAGCATTTGATATTCTTAAAGAAAAATTAACTACTGTACCTATTTTCGCCTACTCTGATTTTAGAAAAAGATTTATTCTTGCTACTGATGCCTCTTATCATAGCTTTGAAGCCACTTTAAACTAAAAGGATAGAAATAGAAAGGAACATCCTATTGTTTATACTAGCAAAAGTCTAATAGCAGCAGAACAAAATTACTTTGTGATAGAACTGGAATGTGCTACTATTGTATGAGCTATCAAATATTTTTATAGCTATTTAGGAGCTACTGAATTTACTCTTGTGACTGACTACTTTGTGCTAAAATAGTTTAAAACTGTAGAACCAAAAGGACAAATTGGATGATAGATTTTAAAATTACAACCCTACAACTTCACTATTATACACAAACCAGGTAGAATTTATTCCAATATGGATGCTCTCTCAAGACTCTGACTACCAGGATTTTAATAATAAATTTAGATCAATATCAAAATCTATTTAATTATTTAAATTCTGATACTTTACCTTCTGACTTTACCATATTAACAAAAACAACTTAAAAATCAGTCTAAATATTTCATAATTAAAAATAGATATTTATACAAGAAAAACAAACGAGACTCAGACAAACTATTTAGAGTTGTTAAATGGACTAAAGTAGACCCTATTCTATACATGATGCATAGTCATCCTACTGCTAGACATTTGGAAATAGATACTATGTACCATAAAATTGCAGAATGATATTATTGAAACCAGATGTATCGAGATATTAAAGAATATGTGAAAATCTGTAAAATATGCCAAAGAAGAGACAAATCCAAGAGAAAAGAACTACTACATCCTATTAAAATAAGACAAGCCTTTGAAAGAATTAGAATTGATCTAGTAGAACCTCTATCTATAACTACTTGCAACAATTAATATATTATTGTTGCAACAGATTACTTGACACATTGGCCAGAAGCTCAAGCTGTGCCAGATACAAGAGCCTTAACTCTTGCTAAATTTATCTTCGAAGAGATAGTATGTAGATATGGAACCTCTAGAACTATTCTTTCTGACCAAGTAAAAAATTTTAGAAGTGAAGTAATTAAAGTTCTATGTGAAAACTTTCTTATTTGATATAAGTTTTTCTTACATATCATCCTCAAACTAATGGTATATTAGAAAGATTAAATAGAACTCTGTGTAAATCACTAGCAAAAGTAGGAACAAGTGAAGATTGGGATCTTAATTTGTATGCAGTATTATTTGCTTATTGAACTAAAAAGCATACCACTACAGGATATACTCTCTATTCCAGCTAGTGTATAGAAGACAAGCTATTTTACTAGTAGAATTGATTCTTTCTACTATTGAGACAAAAACAGAAATAAACTTAGAAAATAGTATTTTATCTCGAGCTTTTGATCTTATAAATAAGTTAACAGAAGCTCAAGAGCAAGTCAAGAAGAATACAGAAAATTTACAGAAGAAACAGAAAGAAAGACATGATAAGTGGCTAAGGCCAGAAGAATTTGAAGTTGAAAACAAAGTTTGGATCCAACAAAAAGACATAAAAATATCATGTTCTGTAAAATTTGAAGATAAAAGAATTGGACCTTTTACAATTTATTTTAAACTTGGCAATAGCGTTTATCAACTTATTAATGATAAAGGACAAGTCTTACAAAAGTATTATAATAGTGATAGACTTGCTCAATATTATGAATGACAATATTAGGAACTCCAAGTTGTTATTAACAC